TGCGTTCAAAATGCCTCGGACTCTGTCCGGCCACCCCATCAATGGCATGCAGCGACTGCTTCGCAACAAGAGCAGTGCTCAGTGTTTTACGTGCCACTTCACGTGCATCACGGGGGCCTCGCCCTCAATGCCTCGGCCCTTGGCCGACCATGTCACGCATGACACGCAGCGACTGCTCCGAAACTTGAGCAGCGCTCAGTGGGTAACGTGCCACTCCACAAACAGCCCGCAAGCCACGCTCGGGACTCCTGTCCAATACACCGTTGGTATCTACCAACTCGGACACTCCAATGTCTAGCACGTTGAACGTCTCGGTCCAGTGCTCTCGCCAATAGCGCTTTTGTCTCCTAGCAGAGGTGGGTTCATGACTCGCCAAAGCACCACCAGGAGGCGTGCGCGTAGCGCCCAAGGTCTTTGACCTCTAATCAATCCATGGCTCATTGTGTTCCAACCATACCATCCCTAGGATGAGGTCATACCTTGCATCCAAGTCTAAGTCTAGATAGCGTTCCACGCTATCAAAGTCAAGGAACTTGACTCCGAGGTCCACGGGGACCTTCGGGACCGTGACACGTGTCCCCGTCACTAGGCGAACAGTGACGAAGTCACCCAACCGCGCCCCAGCGTACAGCTGACTTCCTTTCATCATGGAGCGTTGAGCATTATCGCGCGACGCCCCAGAATTGATGAGGGTCTTCCATGGCTTCTCGAAGCCTTTTACGGTCGCCTCCACGACCAGCAAGCCTGGCTAGCACACACGTTCCGTGTTTCATAGCACGGATCTCTTCGGGGCTGGGCCCTGTTAACCTATGCCTTCCTGAGGCTCAACAAAATTCTTCTCCTGTAGGTCGCTCCGCGTCTACTGAGTGGTGACGTTACCCCGCGTTTGGAGTTAGCGCATTGCGATCCGCTACACTCGTATTGGTTCTTAAATTACGCTTCCTCAAGCGCCAAGCTACGGCAGCCCCGCTGCACTGCGCGTTCGCTAACGCGGACTTCAAGAGTCAAAGCGTACTCTGTGCAAAGTGCACGGTAAAGTTGTTGCAATGTAAATGTTCGAAGCCTTCTTCACATGAAGTCGACATACATCTTATGGTTTGCTAATGAATTCCAAGCAATTTGAACGTCATGCATGTCACGATTTTTTGTTCTATCTAATTGAAGCGTCAGTATTAGCTGATAATATTTATGCAGCTCCGGAGCCAGCTACAAAAGGATTTTTCTGTAATATGTATAATTTTTCAAAAGAACACAATTTATTAACAATTTGTGAGATGATATTTGATAAAAACGTCTGTACTTCATGAATCTCCGCCGTTGTGCTGGTGTGCGCCGCCTCAGTTCCATTGCCACAGATAATTCACTTGTACCGGCAGACAAAATCTTTAGCGATGGTGCCAATCGAATTCCTGAAGATGTTGTGCGGGAGCTTGACAAATTTATCGTAGGACAGCACGAGGCTAAGAAAGCGGTGGCTGTGGCTCTTCGTAGTCGCTGGCGACGTCAACAGCTCCAGAATGACGCACTTCGAGCTGAGATTTCACCCATGAACATTCTCATGAGTGGTCCTACAGGATCTGGTAAGACAGAGATCGCTCGTCGACTGGCAAAGATCTCTGGTTCGCCGTTTCTTAAGATCGAAGCCACTAAATTTACTGAGGTGGGAGTCTACGGTGCCAACGCAAATTCTATGATTAAGGATCTCGTAGACGTGGCTGTGAATCAAGAAAGAACTAAGGTCCAAAAAATTCATGCAGCTGCAGCCCGAGAACGAGCTATTGATCGAATCGTAGACCTGATGGACGGTAAGAACCTTAGTGATATTTCAAGAGCAAAATTGCGTGAGGAGATTTCTTCGGGCAAGGCAGGTAACCGCAAAGTACGTGTGCACCTCAAACCAATATCAAATAAAACGCGGTCTATGTCATCAAATTCAGAGACGATGATGGAGATGCCACCTGAACTTGAAAAGATGATGAAACATCTGGATACGCTCATGACATCACGTTTTTCTAATAGTGGTAGCAACAGTGAGGATAAAATGACAAGCATGACCATTAAAGAGGTGCTTCCTCGTTTTGAAGCTGAAGAGTCCGACAAAATCATTGACGAAGACAAAGTCGTTGAGAAGGCATTAGAGAATGTACAACACAATGGCATTGTGTTCCTGGATGAGATCGATAAATTAGCCAATGCGGGCGATCAAGATCGATCTGGAGGAAATGGAGTAAGTTACCGGAAAGGTGAAGGTGTTCAAAAAGAGTTGCTGGCACTCACGGAGGGATGTGCTGTAAACACTCGCTATGGGCTTGTTTACACTGACAACATCTTATTTATTGCCAGTGGTGCCTTTCACCGCTCAAAACCTTCAGACTTAATGCCAGAGTTGCAAGGTCGTCTGCCGATTCGTGTAGCGCTTTCACCTCTCAATGCGGCTGATTTCGAGAAGATTCTCAAGGACACAGATCACAACTTGCTGGTGCAGACAAGCGCGCTAATGGAGACAGAGGGTGTCAAGCTAACATTTACCGACGATGCTATTGCTGAGATTGCATCCATAGCGGAGCAGGTGAACGCCCAGACTGATAATATCGGAGCACGGCGCCTGGCAACGGTTGTTAATAAGATTACGGAGGACGTATCTTACCACGCTCCTAAGATGAGTGGCATGGCTTTTGAGGTTGACAAGAAGTACGTGCAGCAGCGTCTTTCAAATGTGTTAGAGCGCACGGATCTTTCAAAGTTTATTCTGTAATTAGCGAATTATACCTGCTAGCGATTACGCTCAAAATCAATCTTAATCTGATTTTGTTTTTGTATGATAATTCTGTACTTACGAGCTGGCATGACGCTTATTTTTTGTTCGTGAAAGAAAAAATAAATTCCATAGACTATAGAACAATGCCGCGAAAATGTGGAAAGGCAAGGATGCCCTGAGTATGACAGCATAAAGTGATACACCGAAGAAGTATTTTTGATGAGGCGATAAAAGTCGTTCAAGGAAAATCCTGACTCAATTACTTTTTAAATTATGAAATGAAGGCCAAAATTTTTATCGTTTGTACCTGTGCCGTATCGCAAGAACAGGCTGCACTAAAAATTGTTTTCGACGAAGGCAACCTGGAAATGCACATGAATCCATATCGAATGCACACGATCCTTGGAAGCAGCACATTCTCGCTTTGGTGCGTATCTATCATGGTTCTGCTACATAGCGTAGCTTGCCAACGGGCCACGCTGAGATCTTGTACAGGCATTTAACAGCAACGTTTGCTAATTGCGATGCCTGAGGGCCAGGATATTAGTCGCGTAGCTAAATCGCAAGCAAGCGATCCTAGATGAGGACTGCAATCTTAAGCGGTTGGGATTCAATCCATTCCTAATGTTGTGAAATGAAACACGTTTAATCGAAACCTCATGTGGTCGAGAAATGAAAAATGCCAAAGGTATGGTTTTCTTTCATGCTTGGTAAATCTCTGGCAGAAAAATTGGACAGGATTGGATCATTGAATTGATCAGCTTTATGATTGAGAAGATACAAATTTACTTGAGTCTTAGAATCCCAAAACTTATATTGATCTCAGATTTAATTTTTATAACCGTTTAAAATACAAATATATTGGTGATAGATGAAATGAAAGCGGAAATCCATACTGGAGAAGTTACACGATAATCGACTCGAGCGTTTGATGAAGTTTTCTCGACTCGGGTTTGAAGCTGAACAACATTTAGTATTGATTTAAATATTGGAGCCCGATAAGTACAAGTGATCGCTACCAGCGCAATCACCATCGGTAAAGGTATTGACTAGTTCTCATTTCAAAAAAGTATCAAGATTTGAGTATCGGTGGGAATGTGAGTTTGGCGGTTGACATCTACTGCACACTGTGATGCAGTCACAATACTTTGTCGTATCACAAGCATATTGAAGAAAGGATGAGTCGACACAACGCAATTCTTTTGTTTTATGCTCAAATGAACAATTCCTAATGTTGTTTTATTGCTTTCCGAAAAAATACCTAGAAACGCTTTACCAATAATTAAGTACACAATTGGAATTTCCTAAGTAGACCACATACTAAAATGCAACGCAAACTCAATGTAAGCTACACAGGCGAAGGAATGCTTCAAATATGTCTTCTGGTACAAGAACTTTACCAAATATTACGAGTCCCTGTTTGATCGATGATCGATTCGAACGATTGCAAGGCCATGCAACCTCCGTCACTTCCACCTCAGTCGCCTTCTGTGGGATTAGAGACAACTACAATTGGTAAATATATTGCTCGCTTTCGCTACGAAAAACCGCAACCTCGCGAAGCTCGCATGGCCGCCGAGCATGGCGACTTCTGGTGGACAAGGTCTCCTCGTTATACCCGTAGTCTGTCGCCTTTTTCCAAGCGGGAATCGAACGATGTATTTGATTATTTAGACGACGATGAAGAAGATAATGCTGATGGTGATTCAGAAATAAAAGTGAAGGAGGAAATTATGCAGTTGCCAGCTGAAGAGGAGTGTGAAAGTGTTGAAAACAAATTACATCGGCGATCAACTTGTTTGAGCAGGCAGTCAATAGAGAAGACACGTGATAGTTGGGATAGATTAGGTACTGTAAGGACATCGGAATCGATGCAGTCTTGGGATTCTGTAAATTTGGAGTTGATGGATTTTGAAGACGAGGAGATACGAAACGAAGAGGACCCAGAGGATGTTATCGAGAGAGTGCGCAGACGTCTAGGGTGGGATACGACAATGCCGGCGAATGGCTTACTGAATGCACCGAGGCCAAAACCAACCAAATTTCAGCTAGCGATTGCAAAAAGAGGTTGTCACAATCTTGGGATGAAGCCACCGTTGTCGCCTAATTTGTGCACCAGACTAGACGCTGTCGACAAGTCCACACCGAGTTTACGCCCATCACAATTAGGACGAGAATTCGGTGCAAGGGATTTTAACGAAAGGGTGTCCCCGACATGCGATGCGAGCGCGAGAATCGTGTCCGTAATCGAGGTTGAAGAAAATCTGGAGCACTTAGCGATCGCTGAACAAGATGTGCAACTGGAGGCAGGGAATAAATTTTCGAAGTCGGTGACTTATGAAACGGTTTCAGATGTATTGTCATCAGGCGATTTTACAATCAAGCAATTGCAATGCAGCTGCAAAACAGTAGCTTCACAGTTGCCTGAATCAGAGAAAGCATTCGACAGCGCAGTCATTATACCATCAAACAATATCATAGAGAAGCATCGAAGTATCGCGTTGTCTCAAGTGGAAAAGAGCGGTCCAGTTGAAGAAAACAGGTTTGTTAACTTGCAGTCACCACACCAAATTCCAGATGATGACACAGCTGGCACAGTGACAAGCTCCTTACTTGAACAAAAAGCGAGTCCTGTTAGGGCTTCTTCAGCGTCAAAACTAGCCGTCCACTTGTCAAGTGACCAATTAATAGTTGTACAAGATCAGGACTTGACCTCATCAGGCAGCTCAGACAAAATGGTATCAGTTGAAACGACGAAAATACTTCACGATATGGTGAATTTTGTGGTGCGTTCATGGGAAAATAACTTTCATTTGAAATCCGTAAGTGAATTAAAGGATTCAAGGGGCGAGTCGCAAGAACAAATTGCAAGCTTAGAAACAAATGTAAATTTGCAAGATAATGCGTGCGATGAAACGGTCTCACATCGCGTGGGTCTTACAGCAACCTCAAAAGGAAGTGATACAGACAAGGAAGTAGGTGATGATGCCCAAAATTTGAAAAAAATGACTACCGAGGACAGCGTCTCACATCACGTGGGTCTTACAGCAACCTCAAAAGGAAGTGACACAGACAACGAAGTAGGTGATGATGCCCAAGATTTGACAAAAATGACTACCGAGGACAGCAATGATGAAATTTTTACACAGTACGACACTGAGTTTTCAAACAAAGAGTCCACTCGACCCGAACGCGAAGACGAAAAAATTGAAGATGGCGAGACCTCCGAAGAAGAAAATGACCCGATTGTTCAAATGCTTCAGAATCGAATATTTTTACTTGAAGAGGCATTACGTCAAATTGATAACTAAGACTTTTGGTACAATCGTTATGAAGTGTGTCTCGAAAAGTCCTTCTCTCATGTGACCTGGATGTTAAGTATTTTACTCGAAGTGCGACTCATTCTCACTACAAGTTTACAATGCGATTTACGGGGCGAATTCTATCATTGTGTACGTACAGATTTCAACGTTGCCCCTCGAACGTAGAGCAACTCAAAGTAAACGAATCCTGATGTAGTATTTTCGGTGACGTGTATTGATGCCACGTGAGTTACCTTATCTAACAAATACTCACATGACAGTTTCCCGTTTATCGACTTCTGGTCAAATACATGTGTTTCACGACATTTTGGTTGCCACACCTCTATCTGGTTGTTTTTGTGCAACAGTTAAGTGCTGTCATCTTGTGTACTTATCACTTACACATTTGATTCATTTGTCCGACTTTTAATGCAGTTTGAGTTGTACCAGATTCACATTACACTTTGGTGCAATTGTGAATACATATAAGTATCAAGATATCTGAAATTTATTAAACATTGAAGAGGAGTCTGTGGTATACGCGGCCACGTTGAAAAATAAAGACAGTTTTGATTTGAGATGGTGAACGTGCATATTTTCTAACAGCTATTATCTTATATTTCCTTTTGCAATAACAAATCTAACTAGACACCTTGTTGCGGCAGAGCCACTTCTGGCAGGAACGCATGAACTCATCCAATGACTGTGATTTTTGCGAGGAAAGAACACAGAATGTTCACGTACCCTTCCCTCTGATGAGTACATCAGCCCGATCATCGTTGATATAGATATGAGGAACTGGCGGTCATAATAATAATCGCTCGCTTGACGATCACCAGCCACTGAGCGGCAATCGGCCAAGTCGTCATCGTGCCCAAGATGCCTCGGACCTCGTTCGACCATGCTTTGATAATGCACAGGTGATGCAAGTCCCAAAACTACCAATATGATGCCGATCGAGCAATAGATGAAGTCGAACGTAAGGCATTTGATGTTTCTCTCTTAATGAGAAAAGTTAAAAAGGCCATGAATTTGGCCATGCTCCTTCAAAAGGGTCTCTGGACGAATGCGGCAAGCACTGAGACCTTCCGCGTCCTTCTAAGCTCATCCAAAAAGCAGTGAGTGTCGCATCCAAGCTGAAGTACAACTTTCGTGTCGCGAGGGCCGATGGGTTCAAAGAATAGAATATTTATGAGTAAACAAGCCGCGATGGACCGCAGTTCTGCTGAGTAGGAAGTAAAACATTTTTTAACTGCCGGGCGAATTCGCAGCACACACTTGGTTTTATCTTTGAGCTCAAGAGAGGTCTTACCTTTTAGGGTTGTAAAATTTGGATATGAACGTTTTGGACTTTGTGACTCGTGATAATTTCTGGAGCGTCGAGCAATGACTTGCGTCGCGCGAGACTTGAGCGACAGTACGATAAGTATTGATGATGCCAAATGCGACTTCGCGTGTTGCGGCAGAATAAGCTATTAAAGGTTATGTAAAAAATAACTGTCTAGCCCTGGACATGGTCCAAAAGACCTCATCCTAGGTATGGCGTGGCTGGAACGCCACGATCCATAAAACGATTATAAGCCGTAAAATTTACGTCTTACAAAAATTTCTCCTGGTGGGGCTTTGGAGTCACGAACCCATCGCTGTCAAAAAATCAGGTGCACGTTTGGCGCAGGCACAAAGCTGCGATAGCTTTCGAGCGGAACATGTCATTGACCGGAGCATCAAGCAATGATATTGCAAAGTGCTTGTCCAGATATCGGAGAGCAAAAGCGACAGAGAGCCACAATTTAAGGGTGAGACATAGATATCGATTGTTACGAGGATTTTCCTCTGCTCAAACAAAGAAGGGCAACGGTATGTAGTGTCCGCAACGTATATCTCTAACTAGACCACAAACATAGTTGTGAGCTGTTGTCTCCTCTTCTTGGGTCCGTATAGCGTCAAGGCAAATGGATATCGCAATCTTACGGGGCAGAGCCGGTCTAATCAAAAAGCACCTTCCTTTACTTACAACTACAATGTACAGGTTCTGATGATATGACGAATGTTCCATTCTTGTTGTCTCTATGTAAGGTTATCACTGAGTTAGCGCTACCCTGAGATGGGTCTTCGAGGTAGGTCATTGAAGCTCCACGGGTAAAAATGACAAAAGATTTTCGTGGTGAAGTGACCGTAGTAGAGCTAGGGGCGTTAAGCTATCTCCACAAAAAGCTTTTATAGCTGGAACAATTAAGGCTCAAAGATTTCTGCAGGGATTTTTAGGATCGTGAAGTCACAGAAATGGTGCGGTTGATATTGAAGGAAGAGCTAAGCTCGTCATCCGATATGTATTTGTCTGTCATTGAGGAAACTCGCAGATGCCTGACTGTGTTAGCGGGACAGAAATCCACTAAAACGCTTTGAATCCATTCCACTATGTGAGAGAAAATGAAGACGTGGTAACGTGAGGTCTAACATGCGTGTTGTCCCCGCACAGGAAAGTGCGTCATCAAAACGACAAGATTCCCGTAACCTGATGTTGCGTCATGCAGCCATTGCCCTTATTGAAGTTACACTGTGGCGTCTTTCATGCGAGTACGAAGCGGTTTGATTGAGCAAAAGTAAATTTACCAATCGTACCAATTTTTGTATCGGAAAGGGTAACGAATAAGTGCCAAATTTGTATCCTCATTATAAGCGAAAGATTGTGACATTTTTAGCGCGATTCCCAATTTATAAAAGGATTTGGTTGGTATAAATAGAGAAAATCTACCAGATAAATAGAAAATCAGAAACAATTTACCAGATATTTGAAAAATAAAAAATATACCAGGTGCATACTACTTCGAGTATACTTAATTATATGTATACATGTATACATCTCGCAACTAAATGAACTTGTTACCTGAGCAGATGCTTTTTGTATCAATCCTGCTGGATCGCCGCCTACACCATCAAGTGACTGGCTTTACCTTGACACTGTTAATAAAATGTTGTTTAACACCAAAACGGCATACTCTAGCTCGTGTGGAACTGCTCCTCTCACGCTAAATTCTAGTAATGTTTGTATTAAAGCATCCAATACACTCAACGATGGATCTGCTAACTACGATATGCTGATCTTCGTGGAATCGTCTGATGCATCCCCTGTTGGGTTCAGATTACAAATGAACAATGCAACGAACGCGATCTTGCATATTTTGGAACTACAACTGGCAACGATTTGGTTTTGATGACCACAAATACACGAAAGGTGACGGTAACGTCTGCTGGTAGAGTCGGTATCGGAACTGGATCGCCATCGGCGACTTTGCACGCCTCTGGATCAAACTTATACATGTTTGGTCCTGGCGGCACATCATATTGTTATCAATACAATCTATAAGAAAGAAATTGGAGCAATCTGGGATCAGGCCCAGTCATTGTTATGGTCTCTGCGATATTCTCGTCTTCATTTTCTGTGTGCGATCCATATACACAAGTTCTGATAGGCGACTTACGGAGAATATACCATCTATTTCAGTCGATTTGGACCAGTATGACAAGTTGGAACCAGTCAGTTACAACTGAAAGGGAGAGACCAGAGAATACCTTGGATTGATCGTTTAGGATGCAATGAAAGTGTGTGGAGAAATGGTCAGCGTTATGCCAGATGAAAGTATGAAAGAAGATGGCGACAATAATCTGGAAGGATGTCAACATAATCTCAACTACGTTTAACATGGCGCGCTAAATGCTGCTGCGATCAATACGAAGGCGTCAAGGAATGGCTGATAAATTTGCTGATGAAGTCATGAAAGAATCAGAAAAACGTCTGAAACGAAAACGAGCCGCAGCTCTCCCAAATAAATCTCACATGGACAATCAAGCCACAAAAAGCTGCTAAACAAGCTGAGGAAAAAAACCTCGATTACTCGAAAACTCATTCAAGATGTTGAAAGCAGTGATGACAAAGAAATAAAGGAAGAGAAGAGATTACGCAAGTTGAATGCTGGGATAAAAAAGTAGATACTGACGATATTAACAGCCACAAAAGTTTATTTGTACGAAAGTATCCGACACAGATTTAGGAAGTTGTTGAGCAACACAAAGGCAAAAAAAATATTTTGGAGACAATGCTCCGAAACCGCCAAGAAATCATAAAATAAACGAGATGCTATAAATCAAAGCTGAAATAAAAGGCTGGATCGATGGGAACTTGATCTAAGCTGAACATTACTTGCGTAGAATGCTTCTAACTCATTAACGTTTTAACTGAAGGTTTGAATCCTCTTTTCGAAACTCTCTTCGTTTGTTAAGATAACTTCGAGCGTGGCCTTCCACCACCTGTTTCAAAATCTTTTTTTCTTTAATATATACTCGAGTATTGATGACCTTTGGGCAACGTCATTCATGCCGCTATAGAAATCGTCGGATGAATCTTCAGGTGCAGTGGGCTCTTCCATATTGAAGTCTGCGTCAGTTGATTGTGGGACGTACGTATGCTTCTTTTTACTTGCTTTCGGAGTTACATGCACTTCACCTTTGATAATTCCAGGAGGCCCTCTGGAACCTTCAAGTGTTTTTTTTGTGATTTGATCATACTCATAATCACGAATTTTTGCCATCACTTGCTGAAAAACTCGCAAGTCAATCAGCACTTGCATGAACCAACGACTCGTTTTGAATTTGAATCTATCGCTTTTTGCCATGAACAAAATTGTTCTTTGTCGTGGCATTGTACCAGCGATTATATGCCTATTGCTTGGTCTGATTATCGGAGAAGAAGCCACTCATGATTGATTTTGATTAGCCACATATATTGAAGATGGCTGAAAATATGGCTTTAAAGGATTACATTACGAAGTTGTCAAGATCAGCCTTGCACTGGTTCTTGCGATACCGTTCCCATAGCTGTATCGACTGTTGCAACAACTTCATACAATATGTGGTGATAAATGGTGAGAGCGTAGTTGAAGTTGGAAATACCAAACACGATAATAATCTCGCTTGCACCATCTTCACTTGGAAGACGACGACCAATATCAACAGCAACAAATAGATAAAGTGAATTTCATTGGCGCTGTGATAGCATACCAGCTGATATAACATCATCAAGACCACCATCAACATCCGACCTCGACATCTCTTGCACGAACAAATCATATCCAAAACTCACAAGTTTGATCCAGATAGGGGCGTTTCGAACTGTGATTTGCAGATTTTTCAATGCAGCGAATGGACTTGCTGTAGCGGGTACATTCGAGAATGTGCCTCGGAAGAGATTAATCATATTTAATACAGTCGCATTGCGGTTGGATTGGTAATAACAGACCGCATACTTAAACGCTTTGGATTAGCAATGCCTTCACTGACCGCTGGGATCAGGTTGGAACAAGAGACGCGAGAACGATTGCGAAGAAGTGATTCCAGTTCCTGCAGTTGGAATTCCATTGACGTCGGCAGTAATAGTAAGCGTGGTCGCAGGTGGAGGAGGCGCAAGGCCACCGGCCAAAGCAGTTGTCGTTGCACCACAGCTTAAATTTTAAAGAACTGGGCAGGTGTTGCCAAAATTTATATTGTTGCTAAAAGTAGCAATAGTAGAAGGAGTTAGAATGCCGGCAGTAATCAAGTAGTAGACTAACCGTTGTGGTTGAGGTAAATGAAGCCGCGGGTGTTCTTCTGCATTGGGTATTTCTCGAAATAGTCAGAAATATCCCGCAACTTAATGCAAGCCAAGTAATGCGCGTAAAATGGCGAACCAGCTGCAACGGCACCAGCAGGAGCCACATACACTGGGGTGTCAATACGGCTTAAAGATCTGCACTGCCTCCCATCACATCAAATGCAAGCTTCGTACTTTGTCGATAAAGAGCGGTAAAAAGCGATCGTTTGGCGGCTCCTCTGTTCGAGTAGGTGTTAGCTAAACCAAACTTACCGAGACTAATAGTGGCGGTGATAAACGATATTGTGGCCAAATTTTCGAGTGATGAGCTGCTCCGCTAGAACCTTGGATCGTTGTTGTAGAATATTTCATCAGGACAAAGCTGCTAATTTGACTATGTTTGACATAAGTATTATAATCCGTTTCAGTGATAGTCTTGAACGTTGTAAACACATTCTCATGAACTTGATTCGTGACACAAAACGTGGGTGTCGAAAGTGGAGACTTGCTCTCACGCACCATTCCAGTCTCAAGCTTCGCACGAAAAAAATCATCAATGAAGTCACACTACTCCTTGGGTAGAGACCATTGGCGTGTTACCAAGTATTTGGTTAACCAGGTCAAAATCGTGACGCACACCTTGGTCCAAAGGTAGGACCGACGGCGAATTTTTGGAGATGACGTCTTGGAATTCCTTTACCAAAGGATAGTACGGATCCGAGGGATCCTGAAGGATCGACGATCCACTTCGAGAGTTCAGCACCCTCTTAGAGTCCTTTAGGACAGCTTCATTCAGAAGTTACGACGAGTTAACCTCCTCGTACGCTTTATAATAACAACTTAGGCTGAATTGCCTGTCTTCAAGGCACCGCCAAACTCTTCGAAGGACATCTCATCCAGCTCAAGAAGAGCATCCACAGCGAGAATAGCCTCGATAATGACGTCGCCGTCTTCCTCTCCCGTCATACCGTTGACACGGGTATATAGCTGTGCACTATCGTCAACGGTAGACACACCCTGGGCCAGGGTCGACGCCCTGCGTCTCGCAGACACATTCGGCATCGCGGTCTCCTCTCTATAGAGGTTTTACGTCTCATCGAGACGAGTAGGAACACGCAATCGGCGTCGTCCACTGTCCCCTCTCGCTGCTCTATCAGAGCCTTAATGTTATTAACAACATTCGGCGAAGAGCTGCTATTTCCGCAGTCTTCGTTCAGTAGATAACGTGCCACTCCACGCGCATCACCAAGGTCTCGCCCAAGATGCCTCGGACCTCGTTCGACCAGTCCACTCTTGGCATGCAGCAACTGCTTCGAGACGTGAGCTATGCTCAATAGATTTACGTGCCACACCAGGTGCATCACTTGGGCCTCGCCCTCGGTGCCTCGATCCTTGGCCGACCATGTCACTCTTGGCATACAGCGACTGCTCCAATACTTGAGCAGCGCCCAGTGTATTACGTGCCACTTCACGTTTAGCTCGCGAGCCACGCTCGGGACTCCTGTTCAAAACACCTTTGGTATTCGACAACTCGGATACTCCGATATCCAGTACATTGACCGTCCCGGTCCATTGCCCGCGCCAATAGCGCTTCTGCCACCTAGCAGATGTGGGTTCATGACTCTACCAAAGCTTCATTAGGAGACGTGCGCGTAGCGCCCAAGGTCTGCGACCTCCAATCAATACATGGTCCATGGTGCTTCAATCATGCCATACGAAGGATAAGGGCATACCTTGCATTCAAGTCTAAGACTTAGCAGCGTCCCACGCTATCAAAGTCGAGAAGCGTGAACCGAAGTCGACATGGACTCTCGGCACAGCGACACAACGAACAGTGACGGTGTCACTCAACCGCGATTCCAGCGCCTTAGCATACAGCTGCCTTCCTTCGATCGTGGGGCATCGGGGATAATTGCCCGACGCCCTGAAATCGATAAGGACCTTCCATGTTGCTTTTACGACAAGCAAGCCCGACTTGCAATCACACTCTGTGTTCAAGAGTACGGAGCTCTTTGGGGCTGGACCCTGCTGCCATCTAACTCTTTGAGGCATACCACAACTGAGCTGTTCCCCAGTAGATGCCCCACGCCAACTGGGTTTTCTCGTTTCCCCGCGACAAACTAGACTATATAGAATCAAAAGTCGGTTTGACAAACCTCTACGCGCCTTGCAGAGGGTAGAGCCAGTCCAAAAGTGTCGAATGCCTTCACAGACAAAACAACGTCGGGCGTTTAAACGCTGCTCTGCAGCTCGGAGCTCTCCCTCCTATTTCTCAGCATAGCTGAGATCTATTGGCTCAGGCCCGCTCAATGCGTTCTGAGGGTATGCCAGGTCATGCCGACTGAAAGTTGATTTTGGTATCAATGCCGCATTTACCGCTCCTTCAAAAAAGACGGTTGCACACGGAAGACTTCCATTCTGGTCACGCCAGTGCGGAGGCCTTCCACAAAGACGGCCACTGCGACCGCCTCAGGGAGAGGATCGGCTGTCATCTCGGCAATGAGAGTACCTAACTCTTAAACAAAGTCCACTGACTCCTTCTTGCCCTATCGGGCGGTAAGGAAACGCGATCCCACGCTATATATCTGCTTATGCGGCGAGAACACTCGCAAAGCTGACGCTTCAGCTTCTTCGAGGAGAAGAACGCAGCTTTAACCAAAGCAGCACGCGTTAGGGTCCATTCTCGTGCTCGGCACCCGAGCTTGAAGATAGCTATTGACACGCGCTGTTGCTCGTTCTGGAGCATGGCGGATGTCATTGCCAACTCGACCTCTCTCACCCAGAGCAGGAGATTCTCTCCATCCTTACCCTCGAGGATCTTAACGCTCACTATGAGAGGCCTGGGTCCAAAAGTGTCATCCGACGTCGACGGTGGTGTCATGGACGTAGTCGACTCTGACACCTTCTGCTATAGGGGCTCTAACAGAGCATTTTCATAACTTGAAAACTCCGCTAAGCACGCGTTTATCGCCTCGGGACCCTGCGAAGCAAGGTTTTCCACGCCCTCAGGGCCAAGCAGAGATATCTGCTTATTAAGTTCGTCCTGCATGCCCTGGGGCAAATATGAGCATTCCTCCACCCTTATAGAGGGCCAGTCGTAACAAATCAGGCGTGGATTGGCTACAAGTGCTACCAAGTGCAGCGGGACTACCGTAGCTTTTTGCTTAGAGGAAGCTAAGCTAAGGTCACCGACCCTACGTTCTTTACAAGAACAAGTACGAGTGCAGCGGATCGCAATTCTCTGCCTCCGAGAGTACTAAAACCTTAACCAAGGTAGAAAGACTCTTTCTTTACTGTTGTCCGCAGACTTACAGCGAAGGTTGAGGGGGCCATGGCGAACTATCATTACCATCTATCGTGAATAGTTTTCAAGATTGATTGGGATGATGGTATTCCAAAATGTATTCCAAAATGTATTTAGTTACGACAGAGCCGCCAGTACCTAAAACTCACGGTTTATTAATTATTATAGTAATAAGCATAGCTACCGGCAACCCTGCCACTTTGTGGCTTCTTATTACGGTGTAGCCACACCACTGTGTGATTATACCAACTTGTGTAATCCACACCTATGTACGGTCAAACTATCTTGCGCGACCTGTCCTTTCATACAAGGGTTCGTGTAACCATGTCAAAAGCCTTAATGGTAAAATTCTCTATGTGTGTCCGTTGGACTCCTCTTTTTCAGAGCTTCATCATCTTAATAGATACCAAAATTTGGTAATCGCACAGGGTAGTCCGGTGCAAAGCGAGAGCTGTCACTCTTTGAGCTTATGCTAGTTTATAGCAGTGCACGCCTCTACAGGTCTTACCCGTTTGATTATCACAAAAAGCACAACTACTTCACAACTCGGCCGTGGGATTGGCTGCAAATGCCACCAAGCATACTAGGGTTTCGAGCTTGTTGCACAGAAAAAACTTTGACCTGAAAGAGTCCACGTATGAAATGCATCGAGTTTGGAGGTTGGACTCGTACACTGCAGACAATAGCGGGAACAAGAGCCTTCAAATAACTAAATACTTGATATGCTTTGCTGACATGGAAGCAAAATTATTTCAAACTGACTGAATTTAGACTAAAAGAAGATGTACTTTTTTATCTCGTATTTAGAATGTCTTCATTACTTGAAGTGTAGCTAGCTGTCCACGAAGCTCTCCCGTACTGAGTCCAATCATTGTCATAAATGCGATAACAAGATCAATAGGATATGTAAAAGAGTAATACAATATGGCATTTGCATAATTTTGCAGAAGCGTATGGTGCATGCACTAGGGTACGCAGCACTTGCCTATTAAAAAAAGATTCAATTTGCGCACTGAGTGTTGAATCGTCATTTTAACCGTCTCATGGCTTTACATGCCAGCTACAGCAAAGCGGTCGTTTGTCTAAATCGTCGACTGAGAGAGAACAAAAATGACGCGGAAGTTTAGGTAAAACTCGCTCCCGTTTGTTGCAGCCTAAGTCGCCAGCTACCTACCACAATCAAGCTCGCCACAAATTAATACCCACTCCACAAATGAAAATAATCGTGCGACGGGCGACCCTCTCGCTTCAACAGAGGAATAAAACCCGAGGGTGGGCCAAGTTGTAACGGTAACATGACAGGACATTGATGCTGTGGTGTAACTTCAAACTCCCTTAAGTTTTCCAATCACGCGTATATCTACTGCTTTGTCAGATATCAGCCATGATGTGACCGCCGGTTCGTTTAACATTTCATATGAAAGCAAACCACCCCTTTTAAGCGAGGATTCTGACGGGGGCCAACGGTCTCATAATGTGGGCTGTCTTGATTTGGCGGCAAGTCGAATCGCTCCGAGAGTTTCGGCGTGGGTCCAGTACTAAGATGTGTCAGATCACGAATATGCTCTGTAAGCCTTGTTATCGCGCTGCGTTACTCGAAGCATCCCGAGAGTTCTAGGACCGCGTCATTGTAAAATAGATTAGCTATGTGGGTTGCTGAGACGCTGCTACGTCTATAACTATCCGACTCGTTCGTAAGATATGATGTGAAACGACACCCCTTTTTAGAAGTCGTGTAGGCCATGTCAAGCACGTGCTGTAGGGTTTTATTCATTACACTCTAACCCCTCTCTACCCGGCCCGGGGATTGAACCCTGTACCTCCCGGTTCTAAAGTGAACAGCATACCACTGCACCACAGGATCATTATATGGCTTTACTTAGCGCATGTACCTTGAACGGCTCGATGTAGCGTGGTTGCAGCTTTGTCTTACATACTACAGACATATGCTTTTGTAGGTATCTTAACTGTATGCAATAAACCTTCAGAGTGGAAGGCTTTCATGCATCAATTAGTAGGGGTTCCGCTAGCGTAGCGAGAAGGTGAGAGCAATAATCGTGACGTGAAAAATTGGTCAAGACGTGGCTCGTGCTCTTGTAGATGAGCGATCTGGGCTCCTTGGAATAGGTCTAGATTGTTGGTGGCGCGTTGGACATTATCTGAGTAGTAGACCAACGTATGATATGAGTATAGTAGTCTAGTATGTACGCACCCCATTCCATCATTTTCCTCCAACTCGTTTGGATCATAACCATTTTCGTCAAATATTGTTCTCAAGCTTCCGACAACTTAAAGAGGCCGGTCATTGCCTGAATTATAATCTAAACAATTTTGCAAAAGGGCCATCAACATATTTCTGTGTGAGACTTAAGACTTGACTGAATAGAACTGGGAATTTCTATGTTGTACAGATTGACGGAACGTCAGAGTTTTTTAAGGTGCCGAGACCATTGTCCTCCCAACCTTAGCCTGGTTATGATTGAAAAAGGATCCAGCGCTCCATAAGAGTCATTAGGGATTGTATAATTGCTCTACTGCCAGCCGATAACCACAAAGTATGTGCGAATTTTAACCTTCTTATCCGAATCTGACGAGTCGTAGCGAAGTCTCGTTTCGATGTCAATAGCGTCGCGTTCGCCGAAGTCTACGCAGCTCGTCACAAGGAGGCATCTTCATCTCCAATGCTTTTCGCATCGCAGTTTCCCGATCTTCACTTGGCGCGTTTCGGGCACGGTAAATCAGCCGTTTTTGCCGCGATTTTAAATTTTCGCAATTCTCCGATAGCCTTGACAAAAACGTCTGTTCCACCATTTGTTCCACTCGTGAGAGATCACGCCAATGAGTCGTGTACCGCTGGTTAAAGTCGTGCTCGACATAGTAGGGAATGCCTTTGACAACATTCGCCATTTGCGTTGTACGTTGAATAGTAAACTGTGGTGTTGGATCTAAGCTAAATGGTCTCTCCGGTGTTGACGGAAAAGAGAGCATTGACATGACAAAGATTAAAAATAAGGGCAGGAACTGGGCCAATTGGGCCATACCACCACGTCGCTCCTGCTGCTGTCGATGGTCTTGCTGCTGCTGTGGCTGGCGTCCACGTGGACGAAAGCCGCCACCAAAAAACATGTTGAAAATTTCTTCCGGTGTAACTTCTTCGTCCTGAGCGTATCTGCGTCCCTGTTGCTGTACCGGTGCATCATCACCGTAACGATCATAATGAGCACGTTTGTCGTGGTCACTTAATACCGCGAAAGCCTTTCCCACAGCCTTAAATGCATCTTCTGCTCCTGGAGCGCTATTCTTGTCAGGATGTAGCTTAAGCGCTAACTATAGACCATTCCGTAGCAACACATTTAGTCAATCAATTTCAAGTATTGTAACCTTAAACAAAAAAAAGCTCAGACCTTGCGGTAAGCTTTTTTGATCTCGCTCTCCGTAGCATTCTGTTGTACGGCTAACACCTCATAATGGGTCTTACAAGCTTTAATCTGACGAACCGTCTGCAGCTGTTCAGCCGTATATGGCCGCTGCGACTCCGACGATGGGGATCTCGATGGCGCAGAAGCTTCCGATCGGTGTCGTACTCCCGCACTAGACGATGTACTACCACGTGGTGACGTTGGACGCGCTCGAGATGCGGAAGCTTTCTTCATCTCGCTTAAAGCACGATTGCGCAAAGCTTCTACACCCGCCAATGGATACATCCGATGTGACTTATCAAAAAATTTGATTGCCTTTTCCCAATTGCCAAGACGGAGATGTTTCTTGCCGATCTCTAAGCATTTCTCTGCTTCTCCCTTATTCATCTCCATTATAATAATTGGCCTGTGGTGAATGTCGTAATGAAGTAAAGTGTGCAAAACTGGCAGTAGATACGCTATTGACACCCGCGCAAAACGCGATAGGAGATTCGAGCGCCACTTTGGTGCTTGGGCGTTGCTAAGGAAGTCAGGGAGCGTACGTTTCGAGGACCACGACAATCAGGTCAAGGGGGATAGTCTTGAAATTTCACAATTTTTGTGTACCAAAGGGTTTGAGAAGGGTATACTGTTGTAGAGCTACTCAATTTAACCTTTGCCGAAAAATGAGTCCAATGACAACTGTTTTGGGTCCACAGATGACTTCACGTTGCCCATTTTTGCCGAAGCTTTAACCTTGACTGGAGAAGACGCCCGACGACGCTTGTTAGGCGACTTCAAAGGCGACGAGGATTGCCCTTTGGCGCGCTTATTAAGCAGCGAGGAGGCTGGTACAAATATATCCGGGTCTTTAAATGCTGTGTCTGATTCTGAATTATGCTCTTTTGTGATAGTATTGTCAATTGGCTTCTTTTCCATCTTGACTTGATTCGCTGGCATGACTTGAGAAATTCCAGTCTCATGTTTTTCTTGCTGCACTCCGAAGAATGGTTTGATGTTACCTAATTGATCAATGAAGTCAGAGTAAAGATTTTGTCGCGATGGATGATTGTACCTGCAATCTTAATATTCATCTTCTTTGCGCATTCTTCGCCTTGGAATTGCATCGATCCCACTCATATTTCACACTACTAAGTATCGATAACTTAATGGAATTTCAATTGTATCCTATCTTACCTTTCTTGTCCACTGGATGCCACTTCAAATCAGCGGAACGATACGATACCAGTAAGTCCTTGAGATCTTCGAACTTCGCCTTTGAAAGCCATTGATTAACACCTTCCTCCGACAAAATGACCTTATGCAGCACTACAACGTCATTTTTGATTGAGAAGCACGTAGATTGCAACTCAATTACCGGCATGCGAGAATGCAACCACTTAAGCTCTGGTGCAACTGCAGTTGTAAGTATGGTGTAGGTACCCAACAGTTCGCCAGCCTCATTTTGCCATTGGTCGTACAACCCCGCAAACTTAAAAGTACAAAAATTTGTCAGGATTTCATACCGAGAAGAGCTGGTTACTCAAGGTCACATCACCTTCATCAGACTATTTTCTCGGTAGAAATAATACGGCTGCTTTTCTCGTCTATCCACTTGTTGCCACTCATAGTATCTGTACAGAAAACCCAGTTGTCTTTAAACTGCCTTCTGCTAGTAAGCTGTAATGTTCGAAGTTGCTTACCCTTCACATAAAACTATACATCTTTTCGACTCCAATAATCGCTTAAAAGCTGGTCGATCCTGTAGGCTTTCGGATCTATCATGGCATATCAACATAAGTAATCGTGGCATCAGACGATTCTCGTTTCCAATGGACCTGGCATTAAACATCAGGAAGTGATTTGGTTTCGCACTCGCTTTGGTGAACGACGGAATCAGTCCCCACTGACCGCAACACAACTAGTCAATAAGACGTATCAAATTAGTACCAACAAAGCCCAGCACGAACTCGCATGGCTTGCAATGTAATATTCATCGGCTTTTGTCCTCCTTCTTTGACTTTACTTCCGCCCAAAATAATTAGCCCATATCTTCCTGGCCCCACATTCTCCGTTGGATTGTCTAATTCATACCACACATAATATGCAAAAGCAGCTAGCGTCAATTTCGGTGCCATCAATAGTCAATGCATCACTATAATATCTTTATACATTTGTCGCCATTTACGAATTTTTCGGGCGGAACACCCACAATATCTGCAACCTTCTCGCGAGTTAACGTGCATCGTGTTCGCCCACACATAACGGAAAGTAAATTAATGGTTTCGATTGTTAAACAATATCGGTTATGCGCTAATTAGAAAATAAGAAATCACTACCAGATAGACTCACGACGATGGAAGGTAAACGGTCGCGCTGGCTCAAGCATTGGAGCTGTACCACCACTAATACCTCTCAAAGCTTTACGTCATGCTGATAAGTTTTAGTGAGATTAAATCGGTTGCGTCGCAGGTCATGCTTGTTGCAATGCAGCAAAGGCTCACTCGTGGTCAATCCGACTTGGTCTTAATAAAATTGTCTCCTTTGTGAGGATGGAACATGGCGTGTTCACACCTTGAACAACGAGACACACTTAACAGACTATAATGATTACGAGGGCATATCATTATCGATCACCTCGACGCGTCACAAAACTACAGCTATCAAAATACACTAGTGATGCAGCGGCGCTGCCATAGCTCTTTGCATAGAGAAAGCATAGCTAAGGTCACCGACCTTACGTTCATTTCAAGTACTATTACGAGTGTAGTGGATCGCAATCCGCTAACTCCTAAAGGAGCCAAAGATTTAAACAAGGCAAATACACTCTTCCGTTCAAAATTAAAACATTATTTATCTGTTTTATTTGCGGCAGAGCCGCCTATATCTAAAACCTAATTAATATGCATAGTTACTGGCTGTCCAGCCACCTTGTTACACTATTGTGTAACTTACACCTATGTACGGTCACACCACCTTGTGTGACCCGCCCTTTCATACAAGGGTACAAGTGACCCCGTTTCGCTCTCCCCATCAAAATTGTGAAAACCCACAGTTCACATTTAACTGTCGCCTCATACGAGGCTCGCGTGTCTGAGACAACGTTAAGCTCTTAAGAACATCTTTGAACCTTTTTCGCTCGATGGGCCCTGTTTCTATGACTCGGAAAACACCCAGCCTAGCCGGCAAAGCCCTTCATCTTCTTCTGCACGGAGTGAATCTCCGAACAGTACGTCCGCGGCTTTACCTCAAGCACATCCCAACCCCTCGGCAACCGGGCGCAACACACCGCGCCCACAACGGGCGACGAATTTCGTCGTCGAAGATTTAAAGAAAGTCGACTACGAATCGGATACTCTTTCCCAGCATGGATAGACGTGGAGGATGAGGTGCACTGTGAGCTTGCGGACACCGTGTCTGTTCCCAGACCTCTCGACTTCCGGGGAAGTGGTGTTGTGACCAATCGCCTCGACGAGGCACAGAAGCAGCAGTTGGAGGTCGCCGACTACGAGATCTCGTGTGACTTTGAGTTGCCATTTCAGCAATACTGCTCAGACGTCGTGGACGCATATGATTAGAAGGATCATGACGTTCCGCGTCGTCGTGCACCCCGCGCTTCTCGGTAGTAGCCCGGGAAGCCGGAGGGCCCTGAGCTGTTGTGGTGGTAGACTCACCCGTGTGAGAAACCACAGAGCTCGCGGAAACGTGATGGATATTTCATGTGTCGCAGGGCGACCATACGCAGGAAGTCGGCGTTGCGCCTTGGTTTTGCAAACTCAAATCTAAGCTCTACGCGCACGTCCACTTTTTTATGGTTTCGCTGTAAGGTAGACAGCGAGAAAAGCTTCCGGTGCCGCGGCACCCATCGCTTTAAGAGCTGCAGCGCCATTTCACAAGATATTGGGTCGACCCTGACGACGACGTCGACCCACAAGGCATTCCACGTAATAGTAATCGCTGTCATTCTCATCGAGAAGAGTCGGTGGCGGACGATAACGACTTGGCCGATCGCCGTCCAGTGACTCGCGATAACCTTTAAGTTTTGGAGGACAAAGTCCGTCGTCATCGGCATTCCGCCGAGTATCTTTCCTAGGTCGCCTACTGTGCAGAAGACTTCGAGAGTCTGAAGCACTTTGTGCACCGACTGCCTCACGTTGAGAATTATCACGCTATGTCGGAGCGGCTCCTAGCCGTCGAGCAGACTAACACGTCACTTTGTGCAACGGTGAAGCGCCTTGCGCCGTCGAAAACGAAAATTGTTGCCATGCATATTTGATGGTTCTGCTTTTGGGTGGCTGAGAGAGCCTATGCGTGCCGCTTCGGCGCCAGCGCTTCCGCGTTCACTTGCACCGGATCCCGGTATGGCTAAAGCAAGCCCACATAAAACACCGGGTGGTGCGCATCTTTCTCGGAAAGTTTAGTTACACGCAAGACCTCGCTTGGCCACGACCATAAAAAAGTTCCAATAAACCGTGGGCGGGGCTTTGTCTTAAAAACAGCAGAAACTGCATGTATGGGAAGGCTTGTGGCTTTATAAAATCGAGGTCTCCGACCTCAAAGTTTTCAACATTTCTTTTGCGTCTTTTATCTGCATGTCTTGGCTTTTAGCCTTCGCATCGCGAACGTGTCCTATGACACTCAGTCTGGTAGACAGAAAATTATCGACTTCTTTCCGCATAGTGAGGGGGCTGACATCAGCAGGCCGTTCGGCCATTTCTCCTCCATCATTCCCTGAGCCATGGGATGGCGGCGCCAGCTGGACGCGAGGATTAACAAGCCCGTTCACGTAGATTAAAGTATAGTCGGTAGATGAATCACTGCATTGTTCAAAGCGAACTGCACAAGTGGCAGCATAGCGCTCCAGCGCTTTGGCGTCTCAGCGCAGACGCTGCAAAGAACGTCTTTAACAACGCGATTCACGCGCTCAGTTTGATCATTGGTCTGCGGGTGGTCCGCTGTTGACATAGTCAACTTGGTGCCCAGCACCCTAAGGAATGTAGACCAAAACTTCCCATTGAAGCGTAGGTCTCTATCAGAGACAATTGAATCCGGGAGTCCATGTTGTCGAAAGACATGATCCACAAACAACGTCACTGTACCCACACCGTTGATTGTGTCCGGTACTGCCGCAAGATGAGTCATCTTGTCCAAACGGTCCACAAAGACCATCACGCCCATGTTGCCCGCCGAGTGCTACGGCAGGCCAAACACAAAGCCCATACTCATGGACTACCAACACCCGGAGAGTAGCGGTAAACTAGCCAGCGGCGCCGCCACATTCGGCGAGAGTTTTATCTTTTGACGCTTCTCACACGTGCGCACATATGTGCTCATCCATTTGTATAGCTTGGGCCACCAATGGTGGCAATTCACAGAGCTGTACGTCTTCTCACGACCGAGATGACGACTGAGTGGGGTGTCGTGGGCCTCATATAGGATACGGTATTTCAAATCATCATCGTGAGGAATCGCAATTCGTGGCGTACCCGTTAAATCGATGCTATCATACAGCAAACCGTTATTTAACGAAAACCGGTTTAACCGTGCGCGCAATAGACCAACAACTTCTTGTCCGAGCTCCAAACTCTTTGCCTGTAGCAGCGCTACACACAAACTATCACACGTGTTTGCGGCGCCGATCAAATCCGTCACTGACAACGTCACGTTCGTCACATGAGCAAGCTCATAATTCGGTCTGCGTGACAACGCATCAGCCAAGCATTCTCCTTTCATGGCTTATACTTCACCTCGAAGTTATATTCTGCAAAGAATGAGAGCCTCCTGGCCATCCTCTGCTAGAGGTGAGGCGACTGAGTCGCAGTGCGTAGTGACGCATGATCTGCGTAGATCACAAACGGCTTTGATCGAAGCAGGTGCACTCTGAACTTGACCAGTGCATACTCCATCGCAATTGATTCCTTGTCGTGGACTGAGTAGTTCCACTCCGCAGCCTGCAGCTGGTGAGATTAGAACGCGATCAACCGGTCTCGCTCCTCGGCGTCTACTTGCAGCAGTGCACATCCGATGGCAAAGTCCGAAGCGTCACAGACGACACTTAAAAGACGATCGGGGTCTGGCAACGCCAGTATTGATGCATGAAGGAGGCTATATTTGACCCTGTCAAAAGCCTCCCGATGCTCGGTTTCCCAACGCCATTACGTATTCTTCTTTAGGAAATTTGACAACGGCTGTGCCAATTTCGCATAATTGGCGCTATACTTGTGCAAGTAGTTGGTGAGGCCAAACCACTTCTTCGGAACCGGCCGGTCCACAATGGCCATGACCTTGGCGGAATCCGCCCGAAGGCCACGCTTCCCAATAAAATACCCTCAAAATGAGGTTTCCTCAGCGCTTAAGATGCACTTATCTGTGTAAGCATACAGCTCATTCGTGTGCGTGCACTCGAATACCGCTCTCAAATGGACGACGTGGTTTTCCTAATCTGTCCTCCCGTGCCCCGCACGACTATGGACGACGGTGTCGTCGAAGTATGTTTGTGCATACACCCGATGGGGCCCGAACAATTGCGTCACAAGACGATTTGATGTTGCTGGTGTATTTGGCAGCCTTTGCGACATCACCAGT